AAGCAGCAAGGAAGGCTAGGAGGCAGTAGATATAAACCTACACCTAGGAAGCATAGGACAACTATAACAAAGCCTACTAGGAAAAGAAGATCTAGATCAAGAAAGACAAGATACAAGAATAGAGATCTACAATAGGAATAATTATAAAGAAACTAGAGGAGATATAGAGGATAGCTAAATAGGTAAGGAGACCTAAATAGGACAAGGATATGCTACTACAATTCCCGGATATTATAGACTAATAAGGACAAATATAGACTATAATAGAAGGGAAAGCAAGAGCCCTAGGCTAACACTTCTTCTATAGAAAAGTACAAGCAGACCTATTAGATATAAAGGAGAAAGAACAAGAGACTCTACTACTAGGTATACTAAGAGACACCTAGGTCAAACCCGAAACTATTAAAAGGATCCTAAAGAAAATTCTAGGCAACAAGGCACTAGGAGAAGACAAGATCTATAACAAACTTCTAAAAGTATATAGGAAGGGGCTAGCCCTAGCACTAGCTAATATCTTTTTATAAAGCCTAGCACTAGGACACTACCTAAGACTATTTAGGAAGTCCCTAATAGTAGTGCTAAGGAAGCCCTAGAAGGAAGACTATATACAGCTTAAGGCCTATAGACTAATAGCCCTACTTAATATAATAGGCAAGGTGCTAGAAAAAATTGTCGCTAAAAGGCTAACAACCTTTGCCGAGGAAAGGAACATCCTTTCTAAAGGCTAGATAGGAGGAAGAAAGAAGAGGTCAACACTAATAGCTATAGAACTAATTATAGAATAGATTAAGCATATCTAGTATTATAGTCAAAACTAGGTAGCAACCCTCCTCTCCCTTAACATCTTAGGAGCCTTTAACAATATCTCTTATAAAAGGCTCCTATATATACTTAAACAGAAAGCTATACTAAACTAGATAGTCTAATTCATCTAGTCCTTCCTATAGGAAAGATCAACACAGCTTATTCTAGGCAAATTTAAATCAGACCTAATACTAACTAAAAAGGGAATCCCCTAAGGATTAACACTCTCCCTAATCCTCTTCCTTATCTTTATAGTAGACCTACTCCTACTCCTAGAATTAAAAAACATATTAGTATTAGGGTTTATAGATGATACAAATATCCTAGCCTAGTCTAAGACAATAGAAACCAACTGCAAGATCCTAGAAGAGAAGCACTAAGAGTATAAAAAATAGGCAAGGAGGCATAAAGCAAAATTCGCCCTAGAAAAGTACTAGCTTATCTACTTTAGTAAGGCTAAATCAACCTATAATATAAAGCAATCAATTACTATTTAAGGCTTTGAAACCTAACTATTAGCAGAGCTTAGGGTACTAGGGATCTAGCTAGATCTAAAACTAAATTAGGGACTATAAGTAAAGAAGGCAAAGCAGAGGGCAGATACTAATATACAATCTATTAATAGGCTTATAGCCTCTATATAGGGGGCTACATTCGAGAAAGCCAAAGTTATATACAAAGCAATTGTCAAGCTAGCAATACTATATAGAGCACAGATATAGACAGCCTAGGAGAAAACACTAAAGAGGATTAAGCAACCAGTTAGCAGGTCCTAAACCTAAAGCCTAAAGAAAATCCTAGGAGCATATAAAACTATACTAATAAGGGTAGTAGAAATGGAATTAGGAATCCTACTAGTCAAACAATACTTCAAGGGACTAAGACACTAATATATAGCAAAGACAATAGAATACCTAGCCTAATAGACTATCTAAAAGGCACTAGATAAGATAAAAGCCTAGTATATTAGGACTAGGAGGCGAGACAGACTATAAATAACTCCCTAGAAAGTTAAAGACCTAGAGCAATATAGAGTCTTAACAAGAGAAATGCTAGAGAAAGAGCTTTAGGGACTAAATATAAGGCTAAAGGAAGACAAGCTAAAGGGAGAGAAACAAAGCCTAGTAGAATCAATTACTAGACACCTATAGGAGCAGGAATAGAACAAAACATAAGTCAGACTAGGAACCCTAAAGGTACTAATCAAATTTAGTTAATATAACTACTAGCTCTATAAGGACCTAAACAGGGCCGAGGCAAGCCTAGCTATCTAAATCAGATCTAAACACATTAGACTTAGATCTTACCTATTTAGAAGAAACGTCCTAGGAATTAAAAGCAGGGCTTACTAATATAGCTACTAATCTTAGAACCCTAAGTATATACTACTAGTCTGCCCTTAATAGTTAGAAGGTAGAAGTAATTAGAGACTAAAAGCAATAGAAAGGGAATACGATAAGCTAATCTAGAGCAAGGAAGACCTAAAGAGGATAGTAAAGTAGATTATTAAATAGGGATTCGTACAACAATTCGCACTAGTAAGGGAAACTAAGGAGTAGATAAGAAGGAGGGAAGAAGAGGGGGAAAGAAGGGTAGGGTAGTAGGCAAGGTAGTTAGAGGGTAATAACTATAACACTAGTATACCCTAGAGGAAGGAAAACAAGGAAACGAGGAAGATTAACACTTATAAATAGGACCGGAGGGAGGTTTTTACTAACTAAGTTAGTTTCCTACCTAAAACAATACATAGAAACAGACCTACATAGGCCGAAAGGCACTACAACAGGCAAATGAAATATCTATCTATCTATCTATTTATTTATTATAACAACCTTCGAGGGCATTAGTGTCTTTTACCTATATAAGAATAGCAGAGTCTATACGATAATAGAGCGCCTAGTAGCGAATATTATCTTTTAGCTCCTTTGTAATATATTCTAACCTCTCGTTAAACTTATAGTCCTTTAGAAGGCTTAGAATAGCGCTTTATAGGCTATCTATATAACTAGCGACGGAGTGCCTAAATTTAACGGCGGAATAGAGGTAATAGCGTACCTTCTTAGCTAATTTACCGCTAAAGTAGCGCTTAATAGATCGTAGGAGATAAACGTAGTAGAGGAGATAGTCGGTTTAATACGGAGGTTCGAAGTTATCGTCGTCGGACTCGGAGTCCTCGATTTTAGTAGCTTCTATAGCTATTTCCGCGGTGTTCTCGTCCGCCGGCAATGCTAGAGGCTATATTAATCGAATAGCGCGTCTCTCGGCTACTAAGTTGTTAGTAAGGAAGAATCGTAGTCTATAACTACGGCGGCCGCTAGACTATCGGATAATCTGTTTAAGGCACGCTAACACGATATCGCTATTATTAGTAATACTTAGAAAGTGCGTAATAGGTCGCTAGAGGCCGTTCTCGTCGCGTACTATTATAGTATATAAGAACTAGCTAAGGTAGTTAGTTTTATAAGTCGCGTCTATTAGTAAGAGCTATCTACGCTATACGAGTAGCGCGAGTCGGTCTTTATAGACCTAAACTGTCGTATATGTTCGCTTCTTATCGATAGCGCGTATTGCTAATATATTAGCGGCGTAGAAGTTGTCTAGAAAAGAAGAATTAGCTGTTTTGTTTTAGTTTCTAAAATGTAAACAAGTCGGAGGTTCGGTGTTCCTCGCTAAGCCGCGCTAGAAGCCCGGCCCGCCTCGGATTATTAGAATTAATTAGCTAATTTAATAATTATATAGAGTAAGCGGCTTTATCCGAGAATTCTAGGAACTCCGAGCTTTAGTTTTTTTGCTAACCGAATAGCGGAGACCTAAAGAATTTAGTCGCCTAGATAGCTCTCGAATTCGAGACGAATTCGAGAAAGAATCCGTAGATCTAATTAGCTGCTCGGAATACGGCGAGCGTAACCGAGCAGCTCGCAATACTAATTCTAACCTTATCTTATCTACTTTATCCTATCGACTTACTTTCTCTTAGCTATAACAATAGCTCTTCTTGCTAGTCCTACTATATACTAACCTATCTACTAAGCCTCGTATCTCGATATACCTTGCGGAAAGCCTTACTAGCGTTATTGCAATATTTCCTAGTTAAATATGCGCCGCCGGCGGCGAGGAAGACTTCGTAGGCTCTAGAGTCGTATTGTATAGTAATAGTATTATATACTACGCTTAGTTTATATCCTTTATATGCCTATAGTCTAACCGCCTTTATTAAAGCGTCGTATCGCTTCTATAGGTCAAATCGCCGTATAGTATAGTAATTAGTATACTAAGTAGCGTTATTGCGGCGTACCTTAATACTAATAACTTCTAGGTCCCCTCGCTCTCTAACTTGCTCGATAAACACTACCTTTATCGTTACCTAATAACTATACGCCTTCGCAATCTTCTTCGGTACTAGCTTCTTACTATATCCCTTCGTCGTACGCTACTTTCCGCTACTATTCCGATACGTCTAAAACTCTACTAATAACTCCGTCGATAGCTCGCGCCGACTATCCTTATAATACTAAAAGTTAGACTAATATAGTATTAATTAGCGCTACGCGTCGATCGTAAATATTAGCTTAGTAGGCAATTTAATTATCGCTTAGTACTAGCGTAGGAGGTCGTTAGGCGCGTCGAGTATAGCGTAGATACCTTAAATAACTTCGATACGCCTTCTATGCGTAGATCTACGCCTACGAGGCGCCTCGCCGCTATTCTCCTTATCCGCGGACTACTCTTCGTCTAATAACTTATCTACTTCGACGCGCGCTATCGCCTATAGTAGAAGATATATAAATTCCGCTAGCAGTAGTAGTAGTAGTAGTAGTAGTAGTAGCGGCGGTATAGTATACGTAGTATTAAACTCCTAAAGAGCGGTAAGGGCATTAATGCTTATAAGGTTAGCTATTTTAATAGAAAGTAAGAGTAGTAGATCCTAAATCGATAGCGGCGATAGTAAGGTCGATAAAAACAGGCGACAGCGAGGTAGATAAACAAGGAAAACAACTAAGAACGCGTTCATAACTAAGGCGGACGGAGCGCTAGCAAATCTATACCGAGTCCGGTCCTTAGCTGCACTTCCGGATTTGGACTGATTCGCAGTGGCTACTATAGACACGAGCGCCGATCCGATGCCTGAAGGGTAGCGCGACGGGTCTCATGTATTAATCTAACTCCCGCAGGCTATAGGCCGTGGCATAGCAATCATGTCAAGCTCCATTCAACAGATCCAAAGCAAAGGCATCTTCCATGCCCTTCCAGTCTACCCGCCCGAGCTCGAAGGCCTGACAGCCGTAATCACTGGAGCCAATGGCATTAGCGGGCATTATATGCTTAGAGTGTTAGGCGAGAGCCCAAAGAGATGGAAGAGAATCATATGTTTGAGCAGAAGACCTCCTTTAGTACCAGGAGGGTTGCCTTCCAATGCTGAGCACATACCTCTTGACTTCCTGAAGGACCCGCAGGGAATTGCAGGCGTGCTGAAGGAGAAGAAAGTGGAAGCGGATTACATATTCTTCTTCTCGTACATACAGCCTACGCCAAAGCAAGGTGCTAGTCTTTGGAGCAACGCCGAAGATCTCGTCAAGGTCAATGCGGAACTTCTGGACAATTTCCTCAATGCACTGAGATTGGCTGCTATCACGCCGAAACGCTTCATGCTACAAACCGGCGCCAAGAATTATGGAGGTCATCTTGGACCTACAGCTGTGCCACAGCAGGAATCGGATCCTCGCGTAGAACTGGAGCCAAACTTCTACTACGCGCAGGAAGATCTACTCTTCCAGTATGCGAAGGAAACCGGTTGCGGATGGAACATTCACATGCCGGGCCCAATCGGTGGTGCTGTTCCTGATGCTGCCATGAACTACACCTTCACGCTGGCAGTATACGCTTCGGTTTGCAAGAAGCTCGGTCAGCCCTTTGCGTTCCCAGGCGCTATAGATTCGTGGCAAATGCCGATCTCAATGTCTGCAGCACAAATGAATGCCTACCAAGAAGAATGGGGTGTGCTCTCAGGTCGGCCAAATCAGAAGTACAACACTTGCGACAATAGCGCTTTCATGTGGGAGAAGGCTTGGCCTCGAATCGCAGGATGGTTTGGTATCGAACCGAAAGGCCCTCAAGACGGTGATACATACACCGAGACCGAAACGAGGTTTAACCCACGAGGATATGGCTCCAAAGGCATTACAAGACGCAAATTCAAGATTGCTGATTGGGCTAAGAAGCCGGAAGTACAACAAGCTTGGAGCGAACTGGTCAGGGAACATAGTCTAGTCACGCAGGATTTAGGGGACATCGATCGAGTGTTCGCATTCTTGGATGGCACTATATGTCGACCTGCGCCTTTACTTTTCAGTATGGACAAGGCTGGTAAGCATGGGTGGCATGGCTTTGTGGACACTTCAGAGGCAATCTTGGAGATCTTCAAGGACTTGGCAAAGCTGAAAATGATTCCTCCTGTGCCACTGGTACATGTTAGTTTCAATGGGGAATGAGTTCAACTCTTGAGAGCAACTTTCGTGGCACTCGGCCAAATATCTCTACGTCTTCCATCAGTCTTGGGCCAATCCCAATACTTATCCCTTGTCCGGCCAATACTTATCCACAAACTCCAGTCCAGACTTCACCCAATCCGTCTCGAGAGAAGCAGGTCCACCACTGGCAGCATCATGGAGATCAAATCCGTGCTCTTCGCCTTCCTGCATCGTGACATACGAGGGCGTGTCCGGCAACACCTTTTCCAACGCTGCTGCAAACTTCTCAGTGCTCGCAACAGGGACCATGGAATCCTTCGTCCCATGGATCAGCCATATCGGCGGGAAAGAGGTCGCAGTCTCCAACATTTCTAGCGGATGCAATTCCTTCTCCGTCCCAAAGTACTTCGGAAAGGAGCCTTGTTGGAACATGATAGCGACGAATTCTGAGCCTTCCGGCGGAATGCGTGATGTGACAATCGAGCCAGGTTTCATTTTCACAACGTACTCATCCAATATTTGTGGATCGATTTGTGGAGTCTCCATCAACTGCTTCTCGTACTTTTGTGTGAAATGTGGGCTTCTCATATCTACCATGGGATAATGGGATATGATCGCACCAACACGATCTGGAATCAAGAAACCGGCTTGAAGAGCTAGCCAGCCGCCTGCGCTTTCTCCTGTGACTAGGATCTTAAGTAGATCGATATCAATACCTTGGGGCAAAGCCTCGGGAGCTTTGTCGAACAGCCAAGAGTAGAAGTCCGCAGCGTCTTGCAGGATATCCACGCCTTTAGACTCGGGCATGAGGCGGTAGTCCGGTGATATGACGATCGCTGAGTGTCGTAGGGCAAGATTCAATGTCCAGTCTCCGAACCATTCTGCGAATAGTCGATGGCCCTGTTGAACTCATGAGCTTGAGCATTTCATGTAGAAGTTGACGAACTCACTGTGCCAAAACCTCCACCATGCCAACGGACCAACACGGGATGTTTTCCTGAAGGTAGTTGCTTCGGTACAAGAATCGATGTAGGTATTGGCACACCATGGATATGCTTGTAAGCTGTATCGATGATGTCGAACGATGCATACTTGGCGTCGATCCGCTCGCCCGGCGTTACCTTGACTTCAGCCATCGTGATTCGACCTGTGCGCTGAATTGAGTGATAGAGGCGAATGAGTTGCGTTTGCACAATTCTTCATCAGCTACAAAACCACCTCTTATACTTGTGAAGAAAATCTGTACACCGAGCGGAGGAGCTGGAGTTTTGAGTTGAAAGCTGCATAATCTCCGCTTGGCACGTTTTGGGGCTGATGTTGCCGAGACAGGATAGGAAATAAATGTCAATGCACCGTTGGATATCCAACAAGAAGTCCTTGTACGGCGATGTCACAGCCGCCGGAGATAGTCACAGGGAGCATTGCGAGCTGACAAATGCTCAAAATATTTTATGCCGGCCAGATGACGGCTTGCAGAGAGTCAAGTTTACTAGTCAAGGCCGGTCCACTTATGCGGTGATTGACCATTTCACATACGATACTCTAGAGAGGCGTGACACAGTAAAGTATGATATGAATCGATCCCACGCAGCTATTAGACTGCAATCCTGCACTTGCCAAGGTCATTGACGACAGAATCATTAGCGATTATATACGATTGATATCTCCACTTTGTCATCAACAAGTCCCCTGGCCGGGGTAGCTCAATCGGTAGAGCGTGTGGCTCTTAGCATTCCAATGCGAAACCTCAAGGTCGTGGGTTCGAGCCCCACCTTCGGCTATTCCTATTCAAAAGCATTGAAATTGTTCTTTTTGCTGTTTTTTTTTGGTGTTGGGATAATGTTGTATTCGTCCATGTAGCGGCTGCGGCAATAGCAGAATTCTGTGCGGCCAAAAGCGGCTAGCGTTTTGCTGACAGTCACCGGCTATTGCGGGAAGCTTGCCAGCCTACATGAACGTTTTGTGGTCATTCAAAGATGAAGAACACTTCTCTCGGAGTCTCGGGGGAATTCCAGCACTTGCTGCTGTGCTGTGACACTCCGGCGCTCAAGGTATTTTGCGGCTGTCCTACGTACAACATCAACAAGCCGGCTTCCATCGGATCGAACTGGTCCATTTAGATGCAATGCTACCTTCGAGTGGCGTGGTTCTCATCCAAGGCATATCTTCATGTGTTTCGCTTGCGAACATCTCGACCGTGAGGAGCAGCAGGATGAAACCCCCTTTGTGTCAACAAGATGAGTGCATGTGGCAGCGCCTCGCCCGGAAGGTTGTCTTTCATCATGGACCAGGTTTTGTAATCGACAGAATTTTCAAAGGCACTGCCTTGGCATAGAACAGCGACGTCTGTTGATGTATAGGCTTCGGTTCGAAGTCGACCTCTTTGACATCGAAATTGCTCCTTACTACGCGACAGATCAGTACTTAGGACTGCTGAAAGTCTTTAGAAGACTTACAGCAAGCGTGTCGGAATGTCTCGAAAGTCTCGACATTTCGAACCGCACCCGATATCAGTACCTGTAATGCCGGTCGTAAATCAAATAGCATTCTCAAAGTGCCAACCAGAGCCGTGATGGCAGTCTTCTCATACGTCTGCTCAGAGTCAGTCGTAGATCTCGGTGCGGCATAGACGATACTCACAATGTCTGCGCCAATCACCACATCGTAGGGCCATTCTTCACAGTCTTCCTCAACCCAAGTTCCTTTCAGTCCGTGGCCCCACCGCAGCACACTCGTAATCACTTTCTTATCATCGTCAAGACCATTGAGGAAGAGGTTTTCCTTGAGGGCTTCAACAACACTCTCATCGCCATCAGTAATTGTGACGTGGTTTCCTTCCAGATGCTTAGCTGCAAGAATTGCCATAAATCCCGTCCCAGCTCCTAGTTCGAGCACGCTTTTGCCTCGGATGTAGTTCTGGCCTTTCGGTGAGAGCAGATAGGAGCCGAGATGCAGTGCAGCTTCCCAAGTCCGAAAGCCAGTCGTTAAGGATCCAGAAATGAGATTCCGCCGCTCTAGCAAAGTGATCGTGGGCTCGGAACGATAGTCCTCGTCTATAGTAGAGACTTCTGGAGGCAGACATGTAAATGTCACGTATGACTTTTGTTGTGCTGCGATGAGCTCTCCTGGAAGGTCGGATGCAATGAGAGTTGAGAGACGTGACATCAGGTCATCGGAGATCTCCTGGCCAAAGGACGCAAATCAGAATATGATGGAAAGAAATACGCAAAGTTTCTGAGCGTCGCGGTCAAGATAGGAGCGAAAGAAGGGCTGGGTTTAAAAGATTGATACCTACATCTTCCTCAGGATCCTCAATTGCCTGCTCGATTTTGGAGACGAGAGGCTTCAATACACGGAACTGATATCTTTCTGCTGGCAGATATGCATTCTTCTCGCCGTCGAAGAGTTTGGCATATAGCCATGCTTGTACAGAAGGGTCTTTTAAAAGTTGTTTCGGAGGCCACGCGAGGAAATCTGGTTCATGAAGCTGGAAATATTGCCTTCGGAAAAGTAACAGTTGAGGATCCATGATTCGAAACTTCCATCGGACTGATGTTATGGGTTTTGACTTCTTGCTCTCACTGGTCTAACGGCATGGAGTGTTGTTGTTTGATGAGGAGTGTGCGAGGGAAGCGCGGTGTTTCCGCCAAAAGTTTCGGCCTGTGAAAGGCGCGGGACAACTGTGACACTCGATGCGCTCAACTGCCACAATCATCAACACTACTACTACCACAGTATTGCAAACTCCCTCTACGATCTCGCCATTTTGCGCCGACGAGAATTTCGGACTTATTTGCTGTTCTCCATCCATTGGCCCTCGACGATCGGGGACGCCGTGTTTACCAGTGGTCGATCCCACGTTCTCCCCCTACGCGCCCTACCGCTCGAACGAAGCCTGCAGCAAAACAATAGAGCAACAGAAGCAATGTTTCAAATAGGTCGTATGGGCGGCTAAGAGACGAGAGTATCAAGGTCACATGGAACACGAGGGGGGGCAATTTGCGTAGAAAATTCGCGATCGAATGTTTTCGCCGCGTTCTGCTCTGGACGCGTTCGAGTTCGAGTTCGAGCGCGAGGTGATGTTTCAGAGAAGGAAATCTATTGTCAAGGCTACACCATGAAGGGGCCCAATGGCTTGACCTATGCTACCTTGGCAGTGTCGACCGCCGAGTCCGTTCTCGTCATATTCCTTTCTGGTTCCGCTGGCTTCAATCCCTCAGACGTGTTTCCACTGCCACTCTGCTCGCTTCTGCATCCTGCTTCGTCCGCTTGCTTCTGCTTCTTGAGCTTCCCGAGCCTCTCGAGAAGCTCTCTGCCGCCGACTCGGTTCTGTGACGAATCTTTGGGAACAAGGCACCTAGCAGAGTTGTCAGCACGATCTATGGCATTGGCATTGGAGTCATACCTCATCACGCAAGCCAATATCTCGACTCCGACCTCAGACTTCTTCGCCTCAGCACTCCACTCATCGAATGCTTGCCACCACCAGTAATGTGTTTCTCCGTCTTTGCCCAGATATCCGGCCTCTTCGCCTTTTCCGGTTCTTCTCTCCCAAGGCTTGTCCACGACATAATGCAAACATCTTACCTCCTCGTCACGCCAGAGCGCTGGATGCCAATATCTTATGGTCTTCATGGCATTGTACTGCCATCCGATCGGTATCCACTTGTCCTTGAAGAAAGTGTCGAGAAAGTTCTGGTCTGGATATCGGAATGTTTGCACTCTCGGATCCGTAAGCCTAAAGTGCTCCATTCTCTCCCATAGCTCTTTCGATGGCGTGAGCACGAAGACACCCGAATTCAGGAAGCTGTACGTGTCTTTTTGAGCCTCTGTCTTCGGCTCAATGATTGGTGCGCTCAAAGCCTCGGGATGCTTCAGAGGTGTGCATGGGCAGTTCTCGGCGACCCAGTGCGAAGGCGCCAAAGGGTCGCCATCTGCATTGCAGCTACAAGCTGGATGCGCTGCGATCCAGTCTGGACCTGGACGGCGAATGTCGAAGACATCATCGAGGTTACGCCGGATCAGGATATCTGCATCGAGGAAACAGAGTTGTTCAAGAGGTCGGTCCAATCCCAAGGCTGCAAGTCTTTCGCCTTCTATCGGCTCGAAGACGCGCAATTTCGTGAGTGTGTCCGCAAATCGCGAAGCAACGGGCTTCAATCCATCGGGAATAGCGATGGGATCCACCTTTTGCGGTCTACACAACGGATACAGCTGCTTCAGTTGCTCGAGGGCCTTAATGCAGTCTTCGGGCAGACTGTCGGTGTACTGAACAATGATCGGGTGCTTGGAGCCATGCTTGTAGAGCGAGTGCAGTAGGACTGCAAGTCCAGGTAGGTACGAAGCTCTCGTTATCAAGGTAAGCCAGGCTCTTGAATATGGGTCAGCCGGAGTGGAGTTTGGATGTGGACCAGGCATTTTCTCGTTGTCGCTTTGGATGTCGATGTCGAAGAGTGAGATTGTTACCGACTAGCAGCGATAGTTTGAGGTTGACTGCGGTGTATCCTCAACGAATCTGAAGGCAAAGTGACGCAGCAGGCGCCGCCAACTGAAGTGAAGACGACGTGTGGCACGGCATCTTATACTGACATAGACGGTTGAGCACAGGGCATTTACGACAACGCGGCCGGCAATCAGAAGTCGCTGGAATTGAGCGTGATCCGCGATTGAGAAGGATGTCTCTCCGCGCTGCTATTACCCTGTTCAGCTCTTCAGCATCCGCTGCATTAACGAATCACGACTTTACGTTTGACGAGCTTCCCTGGCTGTTGACAAATTAGAATAGAGTTTGAAGCCCTGGCATAGAACTACTTTATTAAGCGTGAGTCGAGAGTCGAGAGACTCGAGACTGAGTATCCTGCAAGTCTCAGCCTCAGCCACTATGATCGGCCTGAAACATCAAGTGCTTCGACACCGCTCAATGCTACCCGACATGCTCGATTTCTGCGTCATCAGCAGATATCTGGTCTAGTTGGCTGGCCTATGGACCGGACCTAATAATAATGTGCAACGATCCGGGTTGTACAAAGCGGATGTGCCGGAATTGTTGAGAAGCGTCAGCTGTATGGCCTTTCGAAGTGCAGCCAGCCTGAAGCTCAGCGATACGGCGGTACATTGCCCATACACGAGGGCTGACCAAGAGATGCAGTGGATTTAAACGGATGCGAATGCGAGTACGCAACCTCACTCGCACATACTCCACCATGCGATTTGGCAAATGCTTAAACGTGAGGCTGAATATCTTGCCGAGGAAGTTGCGACAGAAGACGAGCGGCGAGGCTTGCATTATGCCCTGATGTCAAATCTCTTCCGTTGACAAAGGAATCAGGATCACTCCAGGCTGAACTCAATTCCAGTCTCCATGCTTCCCTGATGACGGGTCTAACGAGGGAACGAGCAATCCGGCTTCTCCCACGAGCTGCATGAGGGTGTCGCAAACGAAACGCTTCCCTACCCTGCAATCCTTCGAAGAATTTTCATTAATAAGTGCCCTAGTCACGCCCTATCCTCTTCTATCTTACACCTTCCCGTCCCCATCAAATCCGATACCGAGTTGTGGAAACTCTACATTCCCAAGCGATTCCGTACGAATTTGGCTTGCGCTGTCCGCATCTGACCACGAGGACCCAATCATCCACCGGAGTACTGTACGAGACCTGAGCTTTGGATAACACCCGCCCTAACTCGCTTGAGTGGAGGAGGAGCGCCGGAATTTGTCCGATCCAACGTAGTCCTGGCCTCTTTGCGCATCCACTGTTTTGCGTGAAAGGATTCTGATATGGATCGGAGGGCTGGACCGACTGACCGTAGGGCTGCGCAAGGTTGAAGGCCGAACTGCTGCCAAGATTCGGGGGAAATGGTAGCAGAGGGAGGATTTTTCAGCGTGTCCTTCCTTGAATCCTTTTTCTCAATCTGAATTTGGTTCCACTGGAGTGAGTGCTGATTGTGCTGGGCAGATGGAGAGATTTCACTTCTTGAAGGGACTTCCAGATCGCTCTCGACATCGCAGACTGGGCACTTGGATTGCTTCGGGATGGCCACTCGGGCCTCGTATATCAAGACACTACCTATCGCTATTTAGTCAGGCTTGCAATCAGCACTTTTGACTGGCATTCTTACGTACCTTGGTGGCGCTGGTGTTTTCTCTCCTGTATTGATGAATAGAAACATGTAACAAAAACATTGCGAACAGTTGCAGCGTTGACAAAAGAAAGAGCATAGCACGGACAGTCCTTCCCTCTATCTCATGTTCTTGCTCGGTACGAGATTTCCGGAACCGGGTTGAGGTGAAGGTGAACTTCGCGATTCACAAGGCGAGCGGAAGATGCGGGTGCACATGAAGATGAGTATTAATCGATTTGTCTCCAATGCCAGGGTATCTAATCTGTCGTTATTTCGTGTCGTCGTCGCCGGCCGGCATGCGCTTGGTACCTCACAAAGCTGCAACCAAAGCAGCACCGACCACAGCCATACCCTGCGCCAGCCATTTCTGCACCCGATTTCCATCTGCCGCTGACTCGCTGTTTAGGCTTGGAGAAGCCGAGCTCGTGGGTGAAGCACCGTTCACCATAGATGTCAAAGTCATCGTAGTCGGACCTTCGCTACCCGTAAACACACTCGTGACAGTCGACGGACCAGCCTGAGTTGGCGAGACCGTTGTCAGGTAAACCGAGGTCAAATTACGAGCTGTGGTTGTGACGGGCACAACACTGGCGTTTGTCGTAGTGCTGAGGCTGGAAGTTGCAGATAATGTGCTTGTTACGCGCGCGGACGAAGTGGTCGAAGGACCCGAGGTGGTGTTGCAGAGGAGAGAAGCGACTTGGACGGTGTTTGTCGATAGAAAACTTGGGGCCGTGCTGTTGAAGGGCAGGCCGCCAGCTCCAGTGAGATTGTTGTAGCGATATGGAGTGCAGGTTATGGAGTCCAGTGGCACGCCATCGGCACCGGTTAGGTAGAGTGTAGACACGGTGTCTAGAGCCGGATTGGCATATCTCGTGTGTAGCGGTACTTCGATGGTGGTGTTTGTCAAGCCATTGCCGGCTCCGCCATGGCTGGCTTCGATTGTGATGGTGGCAGTCTGTGCAGATGCATTTGCCGCCGCCAGCAGGAGAATTGCTGTTGTTCTAAACATGTTGTGGGCTGGTAAAGTGATATATCGATAAGGTAGGTGAGGGGACAGAAGTGCAGCTTTGAGTGTGTCCACGTCGAGTCTTTTGCGAGGAAGGTGTCGCTGGCTGGCCTGGAATGGAATGGAAGGTATGTGTGAGGCGAGGCGGAACAGAAGAAATGTGGCAAAGCAAGGACTTTCCGTTCTTTGTACGGGACGTGATGGCGCACAAGGAAGGCTACAAGGCTGCTGTGCTTTGTTTGTTGGTGGGCGCAGCCTCTTGCACGCGCACACACTCAAAAATAGCTCGAGTCAAGGTGGTATGGTATGGTAAAAAAAGAGGCTGGGGCTCCCGCAGCGCCAAGCCGACAGTTGCCGATGATCGCAGCGAATCCTTGATTATTATCCTTCTCCTTTGCCTGCTACTGAGCTACTCCTACTACTGCCGTGCGCTGATGACTAACTCTGGCGAGAGCTGCGATTATTACGACTTCCTCCCGGGGCTGGAGAGGACGAATGACGACGACACACTTTCCCAGGATCTGGATCTGCTGGGCACCTCACTTCCTCACACCGTCAAACCACCCATATTATCATATACCTACCCTATACAACCACTCGTTTCATCCCATCTCAATCCCTCCAAGCACATCGGGCATATAGCTGCGCTCTTTGTTCCAACCTCTGTGGCCGGATTGGGATGCAGAGTCCCGTCAAGCCCAGGCAGAAGACCGTGGTAAGCGCTCTTCATGCCACCGGAAACGATTCAAGGGTTGAATGCTGAGCCGTTCGAGACCTCTTCGACCAGAGTCGAACTGTACGCATGGAACGACTGCCTCGTCACGCGTACGAAAGACGGCCAACATAAACGGATCAGGCTTAGACACATCCCTAGCGAACTCCGGGGCTCCTGATCACATGCTGCATAACCTCCGCCTCCGAAGAGTTGCCGCACAGTGCCGCCTACTAAGCAGCCAATCCAACCACATGTTGATTTCCCCACAGATCCACTCACTACTGACAAACCATTGATCTAATGAGCTCCATGCACCACCAAATGCAACCGAACGGTGACAAGACACGCTTCTGGAAATGCTTTGCCACATGGCATGCTGGCATAATATCACATTAGTGCCCACTAGAATCAAGTTGCCGTGATGGGCTCGGGAAGTATTGTACCGCAAGATGAACGTCCAAAGCTCTATAAATCGTGCAGCCGGCCTTCTGCAAGGCACGGTGAAGTCGTTCGCTGTCGTTTTCTTAGCTCACTGCTCTGGCCAGGCATCGTCATGAAGTCACTACTTGCTGCCATTGGCCTTCTACGCATTGCTTCTGCTGTGCCCAGGGCGCAGACATCATACAAACCACCGTCGAGCGATGGATCGCCAACTGTGACGGTCAAGAACGGCACCATCTCGGGAGTGCACTCCTCAACGTACAACGAGGATTACTTTTTAGGCATTCCCTTCGCACAACCACCACTCGATGAGTTGCGATTCAGGAATCCACAGAGCATCAACACGTCGTACGATGGCATCCTTGAAGCCACGGAATATGCCCCAGAATGTTATGGCTATGGCGTATGTCTTATTTCAACACTTCCAATAACGCATTGCTCACCGTCTCATGCAGGGCGATCAAATCGGATATCCACAATCCGAGGACTGCTTGTATCTGAACGTCATCAGGCCAGCTGGTTATGAGAACGAGGCTTTGCCCGTCGGTGTGTGGATCCATGGCGGTGGACTTTACCAAGGAGGCACAAGAGACGAGCGTTACAATCTCTCCTTCATCGTTCAGAACAGCGTGGAGATCGGCAAGCCAATCATCGCAGCATCGATCGCCTACCGTCTTGGACCATGGGGCTTCTTGGCCTCCCAAGAAATCAGCGGAAGTGGTAACACGAATGTTGGACTCAGAGATCAACGACTTGCTTTGCACTGGATCAATGAGAATATTGGTGCTTTTGGCGGTGATAAGGATAAGGTGACCATCTGGGTGAGATTGGATCTTTACACCTGTTTTCCTATCATATCTTACTGATGCATGACAGGGTGAGAGTGCAGGTGCCGGCTCGGTGGGTTGGCACATCGCCGCTTACAATGGTCGCGATGATGGACTGTTCCGCGCCGGCATCATGCAGTCCGGAAACGTGGTGAACTACGTCTCATACAGAACGAACGAGCATTATCAGCCGCAGTACGATGGGCTGATCAACGCCACGGGTTGCTCGACAGCAACAGACACGCTGAGCTGTCTGAGATCCCTTCCGTCAGAGACATTGGTCGATCTTTTCAACTCCACCACCGGGCTTTCGTATAGCTGGGGTCCGATCGTCGATGGCGACTTCATCCAAAGGTGGGCGAGCATCCAGCTTGCCGAGGGCGCTTTTGTCAAGGTTCCGATTATTGGTAAGCATATCAACAACAATACCAACCCTTGATGAACTAGCTTCTGACTTTGCAAAACAGATGGCGCAAACACGGACGAGGGTACAGCATTCGGGCCTGTTGGCATCGACACCGAAGCGGATTTCGCCGAGACCATCTCAAACACAAGTCGCAGTGCCTTTGTACCAGAGTCCTTCGTCGACCAAGTCCTCGAAGTTTATCCAAATGAGCCCGAATACTGGATCCCGCCCGTCGAAGAGATTGGCGATTTCACCTACCCATCTCCCTACGGAGCCCAGTACCGTCGTAGCGCGGCTTACTGGGTAAGTATCCCCATCTTGAAACCTTCGCCTATGTCTCAACTGACCTTTCCATCTCTCCAGGGCGACGTAATCATGATCGCAAACCGTCGCGGCACAGTCGAAACCTGGGCAGCCAACGGCGTCCCCGCCTACTCCTACCGTTTCAACACCATCCCCGCCGGCGTCCCCTCCACAGTCGGCGTCACACATTTCCAAGAAGTCGCGTTCGTCTTCGACAACACCGAAGGTCTAGGTTACGACGATGAACACGGCACCGTCAACCCTTTTGCCAACAAAACCCAAAATTTCTACGATCTTGCCGATCTCATGAGTAAGAGCTGGGCTTCGTTCATTCATGATCTTGATCCGAATTATGAGGTTACGAGACCTGCGAATGCGCCGATTTGGCCAGAGTATAGTTTGGAGGAGCCGGAGAATATGGTTTGGGATGCGAATGTGACTGAGTTGGCGTTTGCTGAGCCGGATACTTGGCGAAAGGAGGGGATTAGGTGGATTTTGGACCATGCGCTTGCGTATAAGCGATGAGGGGGATTTTGGTGATGTTCTCAGAGGGTAGAAAAAGTCGTTGGAGGGTTCCGGAGGCAATTCCATGCATGCTACCGCTGCATTCTATACCCTCGTTCCTCAGCTCTCCGCCTCTCTACCAACTCGATGACCGCTTTATCATAAAGCTCCTCAACTTTCTTGCCCTCCTTCAGCACCAGCTGCTCATGTTTGAGCATCTCATCCTTGGTCATGCATACCAAATCATCGAATTCCAGCTGATCCGCTTTCTGGCCTGGTGTGCTCACATCGATCCATTCACCCTCCGGTCTGCGCCATCTCGTCAAAGCTAGTCTTGCAGCGAGTCCAGACACCACGCTTCGGCCACGATAAACTTCTTCAATCAAATACCCGACATCATCATTCGTGAGCGGCAGACGTAGACCAACAGGATCCAATCCTTGATGTCTGGCCACCCTTTCCTCAAGGCCTTGGACTTGTCCTAGGATCCCTTCGTACATCTTCTCCCGCGCTTTGCTGGGCAGATAGGCGTGTGGGTAGCCTGAGATTTCCAGCATGATGTGGTTGGCAACGCATAAGCCGAACACAGCAGGCATTGTGCCGAGAACGGGTAGAATTCGAACGCGAAAGTCGGGTAACACTCCAAGCTCACCGACTGAACCCTTCTGAAACTCCTCTTCTGGGAGAGGCAGAAGTTGAGCTTTTCCAGGTCCCGTCTTCTCAGATGAGTATACGACTGGAATGCGATCCTTGACACCCCTCATGCGCAGCTTTCTCCGTGTGCTTCTTGAAAGTGGATCGTCTGTGGAGGCGGAGATGTCTCCTATGAACACTCTTGTCGGGTCTGATTTGCATCCAGCGCCCATGGATGAGATCACTGGAAGGCCATTGCTGTGGCAGTAGTGGAGCAGTGCAACTTTCGAGTCGATATTGTCGATTGCATCGATCACAAACGTCGGCGTTTGTCCATCGCCGCCCCAAGGCTCTAATTGCTTGCTGGCAGCGGTCTCACTGAAGAGCTCGTTGCGTGAATCGAAGTGCGTCCATGGCACGATCTGCTCTAAGCGTTTCTGCAAGCACTTGACTTTTGGAGTGCCGACGTCTGCAAGTGTTGCAACGGCGTGCCTGTTCAGTGAGCTCAGAGTGACTTGATCGAAATCTATGAGTCGCAATTTTCCGCATCCGGAACGTGCAAGTGCTGCAGTCGCATGTGACCCGACACCACCGCATCCGACGACAATCACGAATGCTTTCCGCAACTTCGCGAGGCCGTCGTCTGTGAGGAATACGCGGTTCCGTGCGAGTTGCTCTAGTATTAGATCTCGGAACACGTCAGTCTCCGATTAATCATCAGAGGGGTCACATCGTACCTTCATCATAATCGCCCAGCCTGGCTCGACGTGCTAATGCAATGCTTTTTTCATCGTCTCTATCTTCCGTCGTGATCTCCGGATGCGCTCCGCCAATCTCATTTATCTAGGCTTCCGTCAGTCAGCAATCTTCTGTCGTTGTCAGACCAAGCAGCATACTCGTCCAACATCATGAGGCGATGTCAGCTCCGGGATCGAGTCCTTAAGATCGTGCACAGTGTATCTTCGCTTGGCTTCTTGTAGTCCAATGACCGCTGTCACAGCAATGGCACCTGATGCAATAGCTGTCAAGGCGAGATGCAGCTTGTGATTGCTCGCTGCATTGGACAGCCATTCCATCGTCTTGTGATGCACGAGTGAGGTCAAAAGCAAAGTGAAGTCGAGAAAGTGAATCTTGGAGTTCGATAGGAGCGGAGCGCCACAGAAAAAAACGTGGCTGAGCACTTCAGCGCACTTTCCCTGCTCCCTGCATGAAAGGTGGCATTACGCTCTACCATTATCCACTGGCCATTTCTCGCACACCTATTCGCATTGACGACGATTTCGCGCTTCTGGCTCGCGGAGCTACGATTCCTTCAGCTCGACAGCACGTCTACATTCAGTGCATGGGTCGCCAAAAATTCTTCTCACCATGGCGTTCCAGTCTTTCCTCTACGTGACCTCTATACTGCTGGCAGCATGGAGTGTCCTCGTTTCTGCAGAGGACTCGGACATCAAGTCCATACCGCTGCGGACGCATAGCCTCCAGATAGTAAGAGAAATGGACCGAGCATCAGAGCGACTGAGAACATCGTACTGACAGCTTCTTCCATCAGCCATTCCTCGACTCTGATATGCAATCGCGATGGTGGGATTTCGGCGGCTCAACAGTAATACGAGTAGACCAATACATTCGACTCACGGGCCAACATCCTTCGCAAGCGGGCTGGATCTACAGCAGAGTCCCTCTCACTGCAACGAATTGGGAAGTCGAGTTCGAATTCAGAATATCAGGCACGGGCAGTCTATTTGGAGATGGATTTGCGATGTGGGTCACGAAAGAGCGAGCAGAGCAGGGGACGGTGTTTGGTATGAAGGATCGGTTCGAGGGTCTTGCTATCTTCTTCGACACATACAAGAACAACCGGCCCGGCGTGGTGTTTCCCTACGTGATGGCTATGGTTGGAGACGGCCAGACGGCGTACGATCAGCAAAATGATGGAAAGGCGAATGAGTTGGCAGGATGCTCTGCGCGGGGCCTGCGCAACTCGGAGGTGCCTACAAAAGCCAAGGTCACATACTTTCAGGACAAATCACTGGTCGTGGATCTCATGTACAAGGAGGAGAATGAGTGGACGAGATGCTTCGAGGTTGGCAGCGTAAAGCTTCCAACGGTGACATATCTGGGCTTTAGCGCGGAGACTGGAGAGCTCTCGGACAACCACGACATCGTGACCGTATCGACGAAGAACTTGTACTCGCCAACCGGTCAGAGCGGAGCAGCGGGCAGCAAGGAGTCAAGTCGGAACAAGGGTAAGCCCGGCAGGCTATCAACGCCGTCAGGAGAAGGCGGTGGTTGGGGCTGGTTCTTCTTCAAGTTCATCATTTTCGGACTGGTGGTGACGGGAGCGTACGTGGGCTTCACTGTGTACCGTGCGAGACAGCGAGACAGATTTTGATGGAAAGCTTGTCTCGCTGGTATTCGACGTATGTAGATCTTGAAAGTACAGCATTAGCAAGCAAGCAAGCGTAGCATATGTGTATCGGAATAATGTATGCGTGTGTGATGTGTCCTCAGAGCAGCTCTCAGTATGTGTGCCATCAATGACAACCAGCTCAGTCCGTGAGAACCGGCGGCTGCCCTCATATTTGGCTTTAGAATACTTTGCATCATCATAGGACCAGTCACACGCCTTCCCGCCATAATCAACACCAACCACCGAGCATCCAGATGCGTCCTGGCGAGGAATTCAGACAGTCGAGGCGAGAAACGGAGCAAGTACCCTACGATTGAAAACTATCGTTTGTGCATGATCTCATCGCACGCACCGGCAGCCTGGATCAGGATCCAAAAGCGCACGGAACACGGCTTGATTGCAAAATTTGGTGGTCGGTCATGGGGTACCGTCGTGCTAACACGTCCTCTGTCCAACACGTCTTCGGTTCCCGCTCGACAGCGGATGGGAAAGGTGAAATTCGGTGCGACTTGATGAGTAAGGACGATCGACTGTCGTGCTTGAAGACTTGCAGCAGGAGATGGATCCTCGGATTTCTGTTCTTGGCTTCAGGCATGGAACTTTTGCCGCATGTGTGAGCGTTTGACGTGGTGAGGCAAGTCGCGGCTACGTGCAGGAAATGTTCGCTTCTGATAGCTCGGTGATTGGTTCTCGTCATCGGATCGTGCTGCGACTTGTCAGTATGATGAGTATTGGTGTCTCCAAAACACTACACTGTACACCCACCATCCTGCTCGAGCTTCTTGCATGTCAGGAAGGCAGGGAGAGAGGCGCGCGCTCGCTGCAGAAAGAAGTCGCGTCGGCTTTTTCGGCCCGATGCTCCTGCCAAGCATTTCGCGTTGGCGGGAAGAACATATATATCTTCACTGTTCACAGTGTAATCGCTCCGTAGTAGTAGCACAGATGGACATGGCGATCTCCCCGAGAAAGACTTTGTAACAAGCTTGAGGCCACGATGAAGCTCACTGCAATGTCTCTGCCACGTATCTACAACATGTATCTGAACCCAGCAGCTTGCTGTCTCGCGGTGGGAGAGCTCTTACCCAACGGCTTGCCCTGATCCATCTTTGCATTCTCTCGGCGAAGGTAGAAGAATGTCAGGGTGGCGAAACCAATTGCAACCACAGCCGCTCCCAGGTTGACCCCAAATGCAGCAACGTAACGAGGAGAGTCGTAGTAGAGGTACGCCGTCCAGACTTGGAAGTAGTTAGCTGGTGCTGAAAGCGCGGCGAAGATCCCGCGTTCACTTACTGTTTGGCGTGTTGCAGATGCAATTGATCAGCGCGATGGATGCGGCACGCTTGACTGCAGGCTGTGACAAACTGCCGGAGATCCATGACAACTGCACGATCGATGAAGAGTAGAAAGAAGCCGGCATCAGCATCATTGCGAAGTCTGTAGTCTTGTGTCAGCGATGAATCTTTGACATAGGAAGTACCCAAGCGGTTCTTACAGCGGCCAGCAACGCTGAGTGTGGAGACGGCAATGATGTTTGCCACGACCGTAATGCATAGCGGGATTACGATGTGTAGGTATCGATTTTTTCTCTTATCGCTCCAGAAGCCGTTCACAAGCATGCAAATGACGCAGAAGCAGAATGGTGGCTGTCGCACACGTCAGTGAAATGAATGAGCCGATGAACATGTTATCCCACTTACCGCGGTGAGACCATAAGTCGCGTTGCGTGAGAAGCCAAGACCGCCAACGACAGTTGGGAAGAAGTTGTTTACGGCTGCACTCGTGTAGGTTGCATAGAGCGTAGCCATCATTAGCCATGTCTTCGGATCGGTGACAGCCATCGTGAACCCCTTCTTAGCCGTGACCTCACCAGACTCGTCTTGTTGCTTTTGATCAGATTCGTAGTTCCATCGCAGCCATTCGTGCTCCTGTTCCGTGAAGCCCATAATCTGTCGAGGAGAGTTCGGAATGTAGCAAGCGAATACGGCAGCCAGGCCGACGGTGAGAATACCTTCAATGAGGAACAGCCTGTGTCCTGATCAGCCTGAAGACTTTAAACACCCACAAAGTCGCAGCTTACCATCGCCAACCTTCCAGGCCATGTGCTCCGTCGAGCTTAATGATGCCAATTGCGAAAAGCGTTCCAAAAGCATTTCCGAGCTGGCTTCCACTGTACAGAATGGCTGTCCTGAATGCGATCTGCTTGCGATTGTAGAAGCATGAGAGGTAGTAGAAAGCTCCTGGGAAGAAAGCTGCCTGCGAATCTCTTCGTCAGCGATTTAGCTGAAACGCATTGAAGTCGCATACCTCAACGAAGCCAAGCATGAATCGACATGCCACAAGGCTCCCAAAGGAATTAACAGCCGCTGTGCAAGCGGAGACGACTCCCCAGAGCGCCACAGCAGCACAGAGGTAGAGACCTGGCCATTTGATCTTGCTTACGACCAGGTTCGAAGGCACTTGCATCAGAACTAGAGTTTGTCAGCAGATCTGTGCTCAGGAGAGGTTCTGAAGAGAACTGACTGTATCCCACGAACAGGATGCTAACGCAGGCATTGTACTGGGTGACAGTGATATCCAAGTCTTCCATGATGTTTGCCAGCTTCGATGCAGCGATATTCTGTCGATCTATGAGATGGTCAGGCTTCGATCATTGCAGCAATGAAGCGACCGACGAACCAAGATAGTTCAAAATGTACATGATTGTCATCGCGGGCATGACGAACATATCCAGCTTGAATGTTGTCTTTCTGCCAAGCCTCTTGATTTCTTCATCGCTGAGACCATGAAGGCACGGTGGGTAGGGTGCCGCCTCATCTTGCCCTGGAATAGGTTTGTCCAATTCGCAATCCTGGACTCGCTCTGTCACGCTCTTGGTGTCTGCCATGGTGCTCGGAATTTATGCTCAGTGGCAGAGAAACTGTGATCGCAGGCGACAAAATCAACGAAAGACATTCATCATGCCAATGTCAAAGCATATTCCTTGCATTCAGGTACGGCGCAACAATCCTTGCCGATCCACAGAAAATCAATTTGATGGGCTGTAGGGTTTCCAGGTATACAGTCGGCCGGTGTGGTGGGGGGGGGGGGGTTTACTCAATATGTTTTCGCGTGGTTCTGTCCATGTGGGATAGGCGTATAGACCCCCAGTCCCCAAATCTCATGCTGCGCGGGCTCGTCTCGGGGTGCAGCGGGACTCATTATGTCGAAAGCCGACAACTTTCTCGGCATCTGCATTATCAGACGAGATCTTCACTGACGTGAAACTCTTTGTCAACAGGACAGTGCATCATGTCTAGTGTCTTCGATCTCTTCTCCCTTCAAGGCCGCACAGCTGTTGTCACAGGTGCGACACGAGGCATGTAAGTCAACGAAGAGCAATATGTCCGATGCTCTGTGCTGACGCATGACTACCAGCGGTCAATCATTGGCAATAGCATTGGCTGAAGCTGGATCCGACATCATTTCTATACAGCGAGACGAAAGCAAGCAGGAGACGAAGCGAGCGATAGAGAGCCTTGGCCGGAAAGCCACCATCTACGTTTGCGACTTGGCGTCTGCGAGCGATGTTGCAGGTCTCACCAAACGCATCCTTGACGACGGCCACGACATTGATATCCTCGTGAACTGCGGAGGTATTCAGAGACGGCATCCCGCACATCAATTCCCGGACAGTGAGTGGAACGAGGTAGCAAATCTCTCGCTGTACTTTCTGAGCGGTGCTGATGGAGATGGAAGGTGCTACAAGTCAACTTGAACACAATCTTCACGCTCTGTAGAGATGTTGGAGCGTATATGCTTACCCGCAATCCTGAAGGCCCGAAGGTTAACGGCGTCCCCCATAGAGGCTCTATCATCAACATCGCCTCTCTGGTCTCGTTCCAGGGTGGTCTGAATGTGCCCGCATATGCGGCTGCGAAGGGTGGTGTTGCTCTGCTGACCAAGAGTCTATCAAACCAATGGGCAGCTCAAGGCATCAATGTCAATGCGGTGAGTACTGGAGCACGCAAGCCAACGGTTGATGTCTTGCTGACGGCGAAGATCGCGCCGGGATACATCGCAACAGACATGAACGAAGCGTTGATCAAGGATGAAAAGCGGGCGGCGAGTATCTTGGAGCGGATCCCGGCTGGACGCTGGGTGGGTGATGACTTCGATAGCATTGTGAATTCAGCTATCAGCTAACCGAGCGTAGGGTGTGCCCGACGACTTCAAAGGCAGCATCGTCTTCCTGGCAAGCCGTGCGAGTCGGTATGTCTCTGGCGAGATCCTGGTGGTTGATGGAGGGTGAGTCTTTTCTCCGAAGCCCTGCTGATGCAAATGCTGATGCTGATGCTGATGCTGACTGGCTCCAGGTGGATGGGCAGGTAGGGGGGTACAGAGGGAGGGAGGTGTGTGGGTCAGCTGAGAAAGAGGGGAAGCCGCCCGGAATAGGCATAGTCTGAGGTCACCTGAGACTCAGTTTGGGGGGTCGGGGGTCACGCTCGTGTATTGCTGTTGTATAGGCATGTGAGACACGCCAATGCCATGGCATATCAGAAAAATTCAGCATGAACGCGCCATCCGAACTGCCTCCCGCAAAGCGACGTAGGGCAAGTCGTGCGGGGGCTGAGAAGCGATTCCAGTGCCAGCATGAAGGGTGCGGCAAGCGATACTCGTGAGCGCGTCTGAGCCATATTTCTATTATTCTGTCGACCGCCCATCCATGAATCCATGATATGGCATGGCATGGCATGGCATACTGACCACGTGCGTGCAGTCGAGCCGAGCATCTGCACAGACATGAGCTGAACCATAATCCGAAGGAGATATACAAGTGCGAAGAACAGAATTGTGGCCACAGCTTTGTGCGACCAGATCTCTTCGCCAGACACAAGGCCCGACATGACGAGCCTGAGCCTGAGCCTGAGCCTGAGCCTTTCACCCGCCACCGCCACACCGAACCCGCCGCTTCGGCCAGCAACGACGTGCCAGCGCCAGTCTGGGCCTCGCATCCAACACCACCGCTTCTGACTCCACACTCGACGCTGATTAGTGCTGCTTCACTGCCCTCTACGCTCCCAATCGCATCCCCTCAGACTGCTCGAGCATTGAAAAACTGGACTTCCGCTGAAGGCGTCTCTGCTCAGGCCAATGACAATTTTGCAGCCTGGCTTTTTGACAGTCCTGGCTCGCAAAACGACGATTTCACCAAGAACAACATTCCCTTCCTCAACTTTGGTTTGGAGTATTCGCCAAAGGACATATGGAATCTGGACGATTTTGCTGTCCACCCCGAGCCCAGCGTAGTGGCAGGGAGCCACGCTGCTCCAACAGAGCATCATGACCAATCGCAGACATCTTCTGTGCTGCTCTCGGATCAGCGCAAAGCCGATATTGACGCCTTGCTCAGCCTCTTCTTAAAGAAGCAACGTCTGCAAAAGCCATTGGCCACAGAAGACCAGTCCAGTCTCATGTACACTCCGGACTCACATTCTTTCCCGAATCTCAGTTCAGGCATGCTGGAGAAGTTCATTGCCAACTACTGGGCCCATGTGGATAATTCGCTGTCCATCGTGCATCAGCCGACCTTCTCAGCCAATCATTGCCATTTACTACTTCTCCTTGCCATTGTGATGCTTGGTGCCGCAGACGTAGTAAGATCGAAGCCCAGAGGCTATCTGGACGACTACAAACAATTTTCGGACCTCCTGGCGACGCATTTACGTTGGGAAATCTTCACGGATGGAGATGCTCAGCCACCAGTGCAATTATGGGTAGCCCAAGCACTTCTCCTGCTGGAATTCTACGAGAAACAATGGTCTACGCGCAAGCTGCACGAACGTGCCCATATCCATCATGCTAGTACCCTGACCCTATTACGAAGAGGAAGTCCTTTGGTGGGCCGGTCCGAGAGCGAAAGTCCTGTGAGTGGTATGCCGACGAGATGTGCAACGCCTGCGTTGGGTCACGATGCAGATTCAAGGCCAAAGACTGCTTTTGACTCTTGGTGGATACACTGGGTGAGGACCGAGTCTTTCAATCGTGTTGTCTTCGCCGCATTCCAGATGGACACATTACACGCGGTCATGTACGGACATGCAGCAGGTCAGTCGCCCACGGTCCCCAAGAATACTCTATTGCATACTGATTGGAGAAGACATGGCACCTTACGAAATTAGGCTCCCTTTGCCCTGCGACGACTCCCTTTGGACTGCTAAGAGTGCCGAAGAAGTCCATCGTCTAGACGCAAACCTCAAGATGTACGGAATCAAGCCCATCAACTTTCTCGATGGCCTCAAGCGCTGCCTACATGCCCACGAGGTCCAGACCCATGCCTCAGCTCGAATGCTTCTCATGGCTGGTCTGCTTTCGGTGGGCTGGCATATCAGCCGTAGGGAGAAGCACTTGCAATTCCTCGAAACAGTACCTTCAATGCGCGAACAAGGTAGATGGCGATCTCTACTCCTGCAGGCTTTCGGACACTGGCGTCATAGCTTCGATGAAGCAGTAGGAACTCGGAAAATTCCTGGCCAAGGCACAAGCCATACGGACGCGGCTGCCCCGACGGTGCTGTTCCATTTGGCACACATGACAATGCATGCAGATATCATTGACATTCAAATCTTCTCCGGCACTGAGCGACTGCTGGGAAGAAAGGTTTCCGAGAAAGACTATGTGAATGTGACACATCGCATGAAGGCATGGGCATGTACACCTATTGCTCGACATGCCGTGTTGCATTCTTTCAAGCTCCTCCACGAAGTGCTGGTCAGTAAGCCTCGGAAGGGAGCTGCGAATGAATCGATTCTGGCAAATCCGACAATCGGGTACAGCTGCAGGCACGACAACATGTTCTACAGTGAACATCATGTCGTATTACTTGCCGTTTTTCATCAGCTGCATTGTTTGGTAAGTAGCTCTAGTTCAAAGAAAATTTGGGTCCACGAGCGTTCGAAAGCTGTATAGGAGCGAGTGAGATTTGGTACTATCGAGTCGGTCAAGGAAGATCTGCATTGCTAGTCGAATCTGTGGATTGCAGTGTCGGACTGTGCAGTCAGGGCGTAGGCACCTGTATAAAGGCCCTATAACTGGGATGCCCATGGTTATGTGTTTTAGATTATGGCGAATCTGCGGTAATCGAAAGCATCGCGTCTCTCGCAACGTTGAAAGGGCCTCTATACCCGAGCTAGTGTACAATATCGAAACATCGAACGCTAATCATATATTGAAAAGTGCGATCTTCGAGTAAAAGAGGGAGGCACGCCCAAGGAACGCCCGAGTTGCCATCTACAGCTCCTATGAAATCCCTAGTCTAGGTAACGGCTGTCATCCAACGATGCTAATAAACGAGACCGAATGGACAAGTTTGTACATTAAAGACATCTCTCTCGTTGAAGGGCAGTCGTCGTTAGAGAAATGCCTTTCGTATTGTGTCGTCTAGACCTCCAAACCAATCTGCATCCCGGCACTTGCACTAGTAGTCTCCAGGAATACCGGATGCGCTATACAAGGAGAAGAAGTCTGTTCAATAGGGAGACTATACGCCCGCCGCCGAGTGCGCTTTCTGTAATCACTAGCGCAGCTCTTTACTGGAGCTGATTGTAGTGACCTCCCTTTCTAGCTCTTCCCAGATTTCCCATTCGTTCCAGCGCCATCTCCTCGTCGAATTTGCAGGAAGGGCGACAACGGTAACAGAGGTACGTATTCTCGATGCTGCAATAAGACTCTGATTGGGCGTCGCATAGTGAATCAACGCATAATGAGCAGAGATGTAAAAACCTTAGTAATTGTAATAGTAATAGTAAATAGTAAATAGTAAAGTCAAATTGGCAATAGTAATAGTAATAGTAATAGTAATCCTACAGAGAATTCTATAGTAATCGTAATAGTAATAGTCTAATAGTAATTACTATAGTAATATTACTATTACTATAGTAATTACTATTAGACTATTTAGTATAGTAAATTGTATTCTATACGAGTCCTAGTATTGATTTTTCTAGAATATATTAATATATTTACTATAGATATATCTAGTAAAACTATAGAGATATTAATTTTTAAAATTCTAATAGTAGGTTCTTATAGAAGTTAATATCTTTACAAGTTCAACAGATAAACTATTAAAAAAATTGTATATAGTTAAAAAAAGCGAAGCTATAGATATATATTACGCTCTTTTTATTAGTTAAGAATTATACACAACACCACAACTATACAGATAGTAGTAAAAGTACAACATTATATATTAATAATAAATATATTAATTTATAACAGTATCTTAGAGCAATATAATAATATGTTATTTTAGAATAAATATATTTATTTATTCTAGAATAAAATTATTATATTATTGTGCTATTTCTTAATAATATAATTAGTATATTATAATATACTTTCTTTCTAAAAAAGCTTAAGGCCGAATTCTTAACTTTTTAGAAGAATTTAATTATTTACTAAAGTATATTATATAATCTATAGATTAGTAGTCGAACTGTTTATTTTTATTTTGACTTTTTTTCCGTAAGGTACTCTAACTTCTTTAGAGTAGAACATATATTTTAAAAGCTAAGATAGTATACACAATATACTAGGGAACTATAGAGAAAGAAATTAAACTTAGGGAGAGCGAAGCCGTATATATATACATTGCTCTCTCTACTTGAATTAAGGTTTATATACAATAGTATAACTATATATAGTAATAATGATATAATAGTATATTTGAATTTATTTACTTGTTTATAATAGTATCTTAGAATAATAGAATAATATATTATCTAATTTATCTTAGAATAAATATATTAATTTATAATATTATTTCAATATACTATTATAAATAAATAAATTTATTTAAATATATTATTATAATTTAGTAACTAAATATAGTTAAACTATTGTATATAAACCTTAGTAAAAAGGAGAGAGTAATATATATACTTCGTCCTTTCCTTTCTAAAGATCTTTCTTCTTTCTATACTACTTTAGTATACGAGACTATAACTAACTACGCTACTCTCTACTATGCTATACTCTTATAAGACGTCTATTCAATAGTAGACTACTACTATAATACGAAGTAAGTCTACTAATATAAAAGAAACTTCTTACTTAGTAATATACTAATTTTATTATTATTAGAATATATACCTTCGACGACACCTTATTAACCTCTATTACTTTTATTAATGAGTTTATTAATAAGAGTTCTATAGTAGCGTCTAGCCGCATAGACAAAACTATTAAGGCTGTTATTAATAGCTTGCTAAGTAATAGAGCTAAAGGAAATAAAGAAATCGTCCGAGTCGA